TGATTTTTTTTCGTGAGAGAACCCGTATCTCATACATTAAGTAAAATCGAAGTAAACACAACATACAACAGAGTATGATTCAAGAATTCAAAATGACAAATTATGAAATGCCAATACCATTGACATGCAAGCTTTCAGGAAGCTTTAATTTTTTGAAATATTCTAACGTGGTTTTAACTTTACAGTGTGAAACAATGGCAGCGTTGTTATTCCTTATGTTGCTATTTCCATGGCAAAGAATTGCTAGAGCTCAAATTCACTCCATGTCAGAGATTAACTGCTGGACATCATATTCACTCCCAGGATTCAAGATTCATGGTCACGTGATAACATCCGTCTCACTGTCTACCATAAGCCAATGCAAGCATCGGTGTGCTGCACARCAAAGATGCAACAGCATCAGCTTCCATCAGAATACAAAAAAATGTGAAATGCATGACGGTAACCACATCTCACATCCTGAAAGCGTTCTTCCTAGTAACGGGTATGTCTACGTTAACGTCCCTACAAGACCTCCCAAGAGATGCAGCCATAAGTTATGCAGCTATCCGTTACTATGCGTGCCGGAGAACGCGGACTACAAATGTGTCAGTTGCGAAGGTAGGCTCTATGTATATAAATTTGTTTCACGGTACAATCAATCAAGAATTAATTATATAAAGTTTTTAGCTGAATTTCTATGTATAGACAATGTCGTTAATTCTTCTAATTAATTCTTCACTGGCTCTACTCTTTCTCTTTATTGAAGAGGCCAAGGCTGAACAAGTGCTGAATTTCCCAAGGAAATCTAGCAAGGACTATGTTATCCTAGATGATCCGCCATTTGTTTCAATGAGCGCCTTTACGCTTTCACTTTGGGTTCAAATTGACAGTACAAGTGAGTCTCATTATGTGTTTCGATATGAAACCAGATACATAGACGAAGGACCATCCATCTACGTTACAAACACCTATGTAGGTGTAGGTGTTTTTACAGATGGCAAGTAAGTTTTAACATACTCTGCAAGGCACAATAGCGTCCTTCACAGCCTACCCTTTTGTTGGGTTTCCAGTCCCTCCCGAGGTGGAGAAGACGATTTGTGATTGGCTAATAACTAATGCTCTATGCTCCCTTAAGCAGCTTTTTCTTTTGGGAGGGAAAAGAAGCCCGACAACTGCAAAAGGGTAGACTACAAGGAAAAAGGGCACAGGGGACAGGTTACAGAACCAGAGGAGCAGTAACAAAAGGAGCGATCAGTAAGCAGGCCCGTAGGCTGGCCGAAAGGGGTTGGGGGGGTGTAGGGGGTAGGGTCCCCCCAACACACACACACACACGAGCTTAAAAGTTCCGGCGGTAGCTCTCTTTTTTTATTGATGTTATGAACTGTTTGTGAGATATAGCTTTTTGTTATGAACTGCTCATTCTAGCATCCAGTTCTTACACAATATACCTGTGAATTGAACTATTTAGTTAAACATTTAATTTAAAGATCCGCATTATGAAAAAAAAAACATTATTTTCAAGGCAGGCCTACGGGCCTGAGTAAGGACCAAGTCGTAAGGTATAACGCATAGAGCTAAGGAACTAAGAGAGGACTTAAGCGTAAGGCACWGTGCGCAGTGCAAAAGTGATAACGCAACGATCAAGAAATGATAAAATTTTAAATACATGGATTTTAGGCCTCTTTATGGCGTTAACATTGTTGACAACAAGTGGCATCATTTGTGTCTTACTTGGGAAAACACAGATGGACACATCAAATTGTACATAGATGGTGTGCTACGCATCCAAATAACCGGGAAGAAAGGTCAACAGCTTAACAAGAGGTCCCTTGTCCTTGGTCGAGATACCGATGGTGACGATTGGCAATCCTTTCATGGAAATCTAGCCAGCGTTAACATGTGGAGTAGAGCGTTCCTTGCAGGAGAAGTTTCGGTCCTTGCTTCGACATGTCCAACAAGCGAGGGGGATATCATACAATGGTCTACTTTGAAGACAAAGGGGACTGGCATGACGAAGCTTGTGTGTTCAACGTTTTGCAGATAGCTGTCAGCGCACATATACAACACGGGGGTGGAAAAGTATCGGGGATGCTCGTCGAAAGACCCCTAAAAGATCCCGGAAGTCTTGAGAAAAGGGTGTGATTGATTTTTAACCCCTAAAAGATTGCACAACAAAAAAGGTGTTCAATTAAATCAGTTACAGTGATAAAATGTATAAAAATATAAAAACAAATTTACCCCTAAGAGATCCGAGCATTCCCGGTACTTTTCAACTCCCCTGAAAGTGATTACAGTAGAGGAGGCGACAGCAAGTTTCAAACGGTAATCATCGGAGGCGCGATCTATTATGTAAGAATCTTTTTCTGATAAAATTCATGTAAGTATATGAGAGAGTATTTTCACAAAAGGTCTTAGCTTTGGCAGAAATATCTAGAGGTCCAAAACCACGATGTAATTTTATTCACTTGATGCATCAAARGGGTCTTAATTCTTGTCTCCCTTTTGTGCTGTCAATCCTCAATTCATCTTGCCTGCAAGGAAGGACTGCAATCAATGGCAGATACACTTTTGATCTGTATTTTCGGCTTTTAATTTATTATCAAGAAAAAAAAAGGAAACTGCGCGCCTTCTGTTATGGACGATGAGCGAGGTGCACGACGGTCAAGGTGCGGTCTTGTGTAGCTGCGTAGCCGCTTTTGTTGCGTGTCTTGCACGCACTGCAATGTCTAGGTGTAGGGCAATTAAGATGGGAGAGTACATCACAAACGGGGTCTTAGCTTTGGCAGAAATATTTAGAGGTCCAAAAGCCGCGATTTTTTCACTCGGTGCATCAAAAGGGTCTTAATACTTTGTCTCCCTTTTGTACTGTCAATCCTGATATGTTTGTATTCATCATAGTTCAAATAAAAGTTGAAAAAAAAAAAAAAAAAAAAAAAAAAAAAATAGAGTACATATAGTACAATAAGGATTTCTCGTACACCCAACAGCTAGAGGTGCAAACATTTACCGAGTGCCAATGGTGCAAACTTGCCGTGTAGCTTTAATTTTTATTTTTTGATAAACACAACAAATTTCATACAATTATTTATGATTTTTCAGTATTCAACAATACTAATTCTATTTTCTACCTGCTTCTAAATTTAAGTCTTTTAGGGGAATTGTCCATATTTTTGAATATTGCCAGCCTTACATGGTTTGTATGATTTGACTGAACGGGTCAACTGACAAAACAGTCTTCAAACACATTCGGAGTCATTACTTATCACCAGGGATGGTGCDGAAGAGTTTAGTGGGGTGCAAATCATTTTACAGATTTAAAAAAATGGGGGTCACTCAGAAAGAATGCGCAGAAGGTGGAGGGGGGTCGAGAACAAGAACTGGAACTTTCATGTTAGAAATGAGAGGATGGTTCTGTTGTTAGTTCTCAATTAAAAATCATCATCAACTTGTAGGAAAAAAAAAACAATACAAAAAGCATGACAAAAATAAATAAATCAAGCAAATAGAGAGATGACAGTCACACTACACAATATATGTCACTCATTCATGTTCACGTTGCGGTGCAACCTTTCCATCACCACATCCATTGCCTTGGGATCACCAGGGCAATGGATTCTTGTCGTTGCGTGACATTTCTTCTTTAGCTCGCAATACGTCTTGTAGATGCTGTGACACTTTAAAAAATCCGAGTTGTCGCACTCCACATGCTGGATGAGCCCCCCAGATCTATCAATCCACGTGACAAGATCGTTTTGAGCGCGAACTGTAGTCGTGTAGGTCTGGACGTCTTCTAAAGTGTAGTCAAACTTAATGTGATTGTAAATCTCTCCTGGACTTGATATGGCAATGGCTGGAATCTTATTCCTACTTCCAATTATCTTGGCAAGTCCACCGCCTAACGAGTGCCCTACCAAGTAGTATTCCTCCTCCGAAGCATTTCTCTCTGCTTTGATGTAGTCTTCCAAAGGTTTAAAATAATAGCCGTACGTAGATCGATGTAACAGGTAATCAATAGACGCTGACTTTGCGATGAAGAAGGCAACAAACTCAAATGGCAGGTGTTGTATTGGTAGTGCGACTGAGATCAACTGAAACACTGCAATCTCATTCCACATTTTAGCATTCTCAAACCAGTCCCGCGCGTCTACAGTCCCGCGAATACTCACTACATTCACTTTGCTTGAAGGGTGGCGGATGTGAAAGAAGAAAGG